TCCATCTGGATCTCTGAGAGTTCAAAGCCATATTGGAAACAGCCAGAAATGGTGACTAATGCCTTTAATCCCAGGAAGTGAGCCTTTAATCCCAGGAAGTGATGGCAGGGAGCAAAAAGGTAAATAAGGCATGAGGTCCAGGAACTAGAGCCTGGTTAAGCTTTTAGGCTTTTGAGCAGCAGTTCAGCTGAGATTCTGAGGAAACAGGATCAGCTGAGGAATTGCGAGGTGAGGAAGCTGTGGCTTGTTCTGCTTCTCTGATCTTCCAGCGTTGACCCCAGTGCCTGGCTCCAGGTTCGATTTTATTAATAAGACCTTCTAAGATTCATGCTACAACTTCTAATTCCTTCAGCAAATCTAGGGAAAGCAATGTGAAGTGTGTTTCCTCCATAACTCAGCCCAGAGCGCCGGGACATTCCACTTTCACAAACCCGATTTCAGCACACAGACGTTACCACCCAACTTCCTGAAGACAGTGCAGTTCTGCACTCATAGTCTGACCCTCATGCCTCTCAAGAGGTCCTATGACGAACTCAGCTCAGCTGCTCTCTGTTTCCATATCTGCAACGTGAGGGTCTTAAGAGTTCCGGACCACAATGGTGCAGAAAAAGCATTCTGAAGCTCTTTAAGGAAAGCAGCCAGGATGCTTATGGACCAATTCTTTATAGATCCCAGAGCTAGAATAGGGGCCCAGCTACATACCCCTAAGTCAAGATTCTTCCACTTGACATTTATATTTTCCTTGAGATATTTTACACGACTGCCTTTTGAGAGAATGTATAGCTTTCTGTTGAATTCTAGTGGGTTCAGGCAATGCTTTTTTTTTTTTAAATTTATCTTGAGAAATGGACTGTTTGTAATTTGGAGGAATTTGAGAGGCAATTTAGTCTATCATTTAGGATGACAGTTAACATCATCACACTGTTTAAGTGAGAAAATATCACTGTTATTCAGTCTTTTAAAAGCCGTACAAGTTGAGAACTGGATAAAAAGAATCAAATGTGCATGTATGGAATGCCCACAGGCTTTAAGTTGAGTTGTGGAGTCAATACATTTCATACATTCAACAGACAGGGTATGTGAGTAAGGGGCCGGCTTTCAAACTCCAATTCAGCCAGATACTCATGCACATATTCTGACCTTAAGGTATAACACAAAGGAATGCAAAGACTAGGACAATTTTTCAACATGTATCAGCCATTTATCCCGTGCTAATCAGAGTTCTTGTACAGAGCTTGGATATTAACCCAGGTCTTTGAACTTAAATCAGTATTGCTGGGCTCCAAATTACTGGCTCTCTTAAAATCACTTGGGAAGATTTTTTTTTTTGAGACAAAGTCTCATCTATCCTAGACTCACTCAGCACATATTGGAGAATGACCTTGAACTTCTAATACAGTTGAACTTCCAATACCTTCACGGCTGGTTACTGGTGTGTACAACCACATCAGGTTTGTGCAGCTCTGTGAATTCAGGCAAGCAGACTACCAATGGAGCTACATCACCAGCCCTTCCTAAAGAGTTCTTCAGAATACTTTTTATTTTGAACTAATTCTAACTTTATGGAAAAGTTGCAAAGACATACAGAAAGTTGCTGCAAGCCCTTCACTTAGCTGCTACTGAAGCAGACATGGGACTTTTTCCTTTTTCGTTTGAAGTAGTAGTCCAAACCTGTAAAATGGGACTCTGATGATAAGATCCAATCAGTAGTATTTTTTTAAGCTTTTCCTCACATGCATTCAAGGTGAAGGCAAGTCTGGGAACCTCTGCTCCAAATCCTTCTCAAAAGGGAATAAGCCAGCCAACAGCATGGCCATTGCTTGGTGGCCTGTTAGGAATGTAACCGCATGTGGGAAAAAGTTAGTCTATGTATATAGTAACATTTATATGATGACAAAGTAGTATTGCAGAGACCTTCAGCCCCATGCTTTAAAAACTGATTGTTGGTAGCTAAAAATCATCAGAGAATGATGTTATTTAGGAGGAGAATTGCTAACAGTCTTGAATTAATGACAGAACCAAGGCTGCCACTCTAATAAGCAGAGACCCAGGAAGGCCTTTCTCATCCTCTCATTTTGTGGAATCACATTAGAACTATTTTAGATTTTACTAGCACTTGTATCGGAAAATTGGAAGAAATAAAGAACAACTCATTTGGCAATAGTTTGGCAGTGAAAACTATTGAAATCAAGGGTTTAAGTATGCGTTTTGGACACTGTACACACTTTTTGACGTTTAGTTTTGTCCTGCCCATACAGATAACATAAAGTTGATTACACAAAAATCAAGGAGTGTAGAATGCAGATTGGAAAGGGATCCATTTTCAACCCTTCCCAAATGTGTGCCCAGATGAATTACTTGCTATTGTTGACCTGTTGGTATTTCCATTTAGAATTATCAAAATGACTTTTGCCGATTTCTCAGTTATTTCAAACTAGGTTTTCATTTAGCAAAGTAGGCTTAAATAGTTTTGAGTATGTAAGTAGATGTTGTGGTTTTACAAAGAAACCAGTCATAGGAACTATTTAGTCTTAACATCATTCAATCATTTTAATTCAGGCTGCAGGATTAATATTTTATCCTGGGTTTTTTAATCATAGGATTTTTTTTAAAGAAGCCAAAATTGAATTGAGACTTGTAAGACGTATGCACCCATACATCAGCCTTACTTGGGAATAGTACTGAATGAAATTTAACCTCCATAAATATTCTTGCAGCAATGTACAATTTAATACTTTTTTTTTTTTTTTTTTTTTTTTTTTGGTTTTTCGAGACAGGGTTTCTCTGTGTAGCTTTGCGCCTTTCCTGGAACTCACTTGGTAGTCCAGGCTGGCCTCGAACTCACAGAGATCCGCCTGGCTCTGCCTCCCGAGTGCTGGGATTAAAGGCGTGCGCCACCACCGCCCGGCCAATTTAATACTTTTTAATCTAAAATTTTAAAGGGGTTCATGCACAAGTACTTGTACTTATATTATTTCCACTCCTACCTTTCCCTGTCCAATTCCTCCTGTGTCTTTTTCAGACTCCTCAAATTCATAACCTCTTCTTCTATAATTATTGTTATACACACAAGTGGTGTGGACGAACATGCACACCATGCACATACAGACACACACACACACACACACACACACACACACACACACAGCCTACTAAGCCCAATTTAATAATCTTTTTTATAGTATTTGTTAGGCTTCCTCATTAGCTTATTGAAGTAGTGTTGTCAAAACATTTTATCTTGAAGATTGAATGGGATATGAGGTAGCTTTGCCATAGAACTAGAAAGAGGAGATGAATGGTCAGACAAAGAGCACCATTAACAAATTAGCCTTAATGTAGGACCATTGCGTTTAAGAGTTGTCAGGGAAATGAGCAATTAACCAGCTTTGTCTCTAGGGTTCTCAGCTACAGAAGCTGTGGCATGCCACACAAGTTCAGCGTCAAATTCACAAACCCCATCTGTGCTCTTTAAGCTTCCTTCCCTTCTTTGCTAAAAATGTCTTTGTTCAAACTCCAGAGATATACGAGAAACCACCAATGTAATCTCACGGAGCTTCTGAGGCAGCCGTGCTCTCTACAGAGCCACTGGGCTCCCTGTGGCTCTCCTGTTTCAAAAGGTGGTCTTCTTAGCACTTCATACTGACCAACTAACACTCACGCTGTATATCAAGCCTTACAGGCTCTGCTTTATGTCCACTGTATATGCTTTCAGTTTCTTCTCTGTTGGCTCTTTCCCCTAGCTTACAAACATATCTAATACTCTCCTAAATCAGGCAAAAATGTGCATATGTGTTCATGTGCATACTTCCATCTGGACTTCTAGGTAAAACGGCTAAGGTAAATTTAGCCAAGTATGATCACACAAGCCTGAGATATCAGGACTCTGGAAGCTGAGGCAGGAGGATCACAATTTCCAGACCAACCTTGGCTACATAATGAAAACTTGCCTCAAAACAACAATAACAACACAAAAGACATGACCTTGAAGATACATATTTTGACTGTTTTTAATTCATAGACTATACATGGTTAATAAAACAATAGTAAACAAACATGTAAAGCAATATAAATGCTAAATGCCGATTAACTATGAAACCATAAAGTCAAAGTCGCAGGACTGATAGATGTGAGTCCGAGACAGAGAGAGAGGCCATCAAGGTCTCAGCTCCAAAACTGGGGAGACAGCTCAGTTGACAAAATGCCTATCTAGCATGTTTAAAAGGCCCACAGACTAATCTCCAGTGCTGGGGGGAGGGAACTCTAGTAGGAAATGGTCTCCATCGGTTTCGCTGGTTGCATAGTATATGGATGTATGCATCATTATTTCATATAACCAAGCCCCTACTTTTGCACAAGCAGTTACATATTGAAAATCTTTTCTTGGGCTCCCCGAACCCACGAATATACCCATCTAGTCCAGTTGCACTGTATTAGCCAACACAATTCAGGTGCAACCATAAAAAAAAAACCAAGCCTTCAGCTTAAACTAGGAAACAGTAGGGTGCTGTCACAGAAATAGGTTAATAAACGAATCTCTACTGCTTTTCTGTGGCTGCAGTAGCAAAGTACCATAAAGCTGGTGTCTCAGAACAACAAAATCCCGAAGTTCAAGGTGTCAGACTCTCTTGGCATGAAGCATTGCCTCTTCTGCTTTGGGTGGCTTGAGGCAATCTCTGAGTTGTGACCTCATCATGTCATTTCTACCTCCGTCTTCAAATGCCCCCGCTGTGTCTATGTCTTCTCCTGGCTTCTAGGAACCTTGGTCCTTGTACTTTGGGTTCAAGTGACTAATACCTCAAGGACTTGTCCTCCATTATACATGCAGAGGCTCTGGCAGTAAGGAAGTAGACCCATCCTTTTGAAGTCTGCCATTAGACATTGTTTTGCCTAGGCACAGGTGCACATTCAAATATTGTCTAGTTTCTTTTCAGATGGTCTATAGTTTAAACTGCTAGCAACCACAGTTATCAAGGTGTCTTTGTAACTCACTCTTAAACTAGGATTTGTCTTTCGAGCGATCATCCCAGTCAATGTTGGAACGATCTGAACAACAGATCAGAGCTGCTTCTAGTTTGGAGGAGCTGCTGCGTATCGCACACTCTGAAGACTGGAAGCTGTGGAGATGCCGGCTGAAGCTCAAAAGTCTTGCCAGTATGGACTCGCGCTCGACATCCCATCGCTCCACCAGATTTGCGGCAACTTTCTATGATACTGAAACGCTAAAAGGTAGGTTTGTGAGTAAAATGGAAGATTATTTCCTTATCAGGTAGTGACACAGGTACCAATTCCTTCCAAAAGTTTGAACAGGTGGTTATATATCAGAGGGGGAACAAAAGGGAGTCTGACCTTACGGCAAGATGGTTCACTGGGTAAAGTTGGCAATGGTTCTCAGATAGCCACACATGTGCCCCTCCTTAAATAAATAGATGTAATAAAAAAAATTAAACAAATCAGTACTTGCAGGAGTCAGTGCTCTCTTTCCACCTTGTGGGGCTCAGGAATCAAACACAGGTCTTCAGGCTTGGCAGCAAGCACCTTTACCCACTGAACCAACTTGTCAGCTCAAGAATTTTGATTTTTAAATGTCTACTCCACAAAGGAGAATATTCAATATGATTTTGATATCTACATCTAACACAAGAACATTGCAAATTATCAAAATATGTTTAACTCAGGAATTTGAGTACAAAGCAATACAGAAAGACTGCTTTTAGGGAGAAAAAAAACCAGGTTTAATAAAAAACAAAACAACCTCAGGGAGGTTTCAATTACTATGCAGATAGAGAGAAAAATCAAGAATTTTGCTATAGCTTTTTTTTCTTCAAAATCCTGTGGTTTTTATGTAACAGTGAGAAGCATAAATTGCAAGGTGAAGCATAATAATGGGTACTAGTTACTCAGAGAATAACAAAGAAATTTCTTGACATAAAATAATCAATGCTTAGGACTAGAAAAATGGCATGTAATCAGCCTTCTGTATCCCCAGGTCTTCCCCACTCCCATGGGTTCAGCCAATCACACAGGTCAAATACTTGGAGAAATGCATGTGTACTGAGCATAGGCAGATCTTTTCTTGACATACAGTATACTGTAACAACTATTTATATACCAGAAATTATCTAGACATTATTTCAAGTGTACTGGAAGATATAGGTGGGTTATTTACAAATTCTAGCCCAATTATATAAGGAACTTGGTAACCCAAGGATTTGGGTATCTGTAAGGATTCCTGGGACCAATCCTCCACAGATATCAAGGGACCATCATATTTCCAAGTTGATTACTGGGGTAGGGGTGGGAATGGATGTGTAGTGTCTACTTCTGCCACTTTAATGATATCCAGATTGAGATATAGACTCTTTACAAGACTATTATTTATACATACTGTGCCACAGTGAATGAAATGTTTTTAAATAAAGTTGTGTGGCCTTGATTAGATCTTTAGCTCTCTGATGAAATATCAAAACAACTCAATAGTGCTATTGTTAGATTTAGCCTTGTAGATACACACATGATCACATAGCACATGAATATATCCACTGCTTAATTTCAGTTGATCCTTAAGCAAACATTATTGTTCTCTTTCTATCTAGAGTTGTCTTTTTCCCCATTTGTTAAAGAATGGATTGCACAGGATTCAGCTATGGGGAAAGTTGTGTGTAGGTGAGGCAAATCCCACCGCACTATAAGTGTGAAGAAGGTTCTCTGTGCTCATGCATGGTACTGTGTGTCTAAGTGAGAGTCTAGTCGTTCACTCCTGTTGTAATGTCACATGGACTTTACAAAAACCCGCACATCTGGAGACCACAGGCTTGGACCAGATTACCTCGCCGAAGACCTGAGGGGAATGGACAGATGACCTGTAAAGACAATTTTACCATCAAACCACAAGTCAGTGATTTTTAAAAGTCAGCCAGCTTGACATTTTCTAAGGGGGAAACCGTAAAAAAATTAGAGAATTTGCAGCCTCCACGGTTTCCCTCCTAATTATATGGAGGATTAGCTGAAGTTATTCACTAAGTTAGAAGCAGTAGATTATCAAATAAGTGTGTCACACCAATTATGTTTTGTTATCTACTCTCTCATGGATTTCAGGGTAATTCCCTGGGCAGTAGTAAAGAACGCTGGCCTTATGAAATCTTAGTCAGTGGCATTGGTCATAACTGCATGAGATTTTGATTATAATCTTGTCCAACTTTTAAAAGTTAGAATTTTAAAGAGAAAAAGCAAGTAGAAAGTAACATTAAATAACATTTTAAACAAAGGATATTTTCATAAGTCAATTACTCTCTCCTTCAAAGATTTATGACTAATAGTACCAATTTAAAGAGCACCCCTAGTAATGCTTAAATAGTTCATGTCTCATGCATTCAATCTGAGGATACTTTATATGAATTTGTATCAACAGAAATGTAAAAATATTAATTTTGTATTCTGTGTATGCATGAGTGTTTTGCCAGCATATATGTCTGTGCACCACATGTGTGCAGTACCTATGGAGGTCAGAAGAAGGCATCAGATCCACTGGAACTAGAGTTAGAGATACAACCTGCCATATGGATGCTGGGAACTGAATGTGGGTCCTCTTCTAAATCATCTCTCCAGGACCATTGTCTTAGTTAGGGTTCCTATTGCTGTTAAAAGACATCATGACCACAGCAACTCTTATAAAGGAAAACATTTAATTGTGGTGTTCCACTCATAATTCAGAGGTTTAGTGCATTATTGTCATGGTGGGAAGCAAGGCAGCATGCAGGCAGACAGGGTGCTAGAGAAGGAACTGAGAGTTCTTACATCTTGACTCACAGGCAACAGCAAGTGATCTATCTCACTGGGCCTGGCTTGAGCATATATGAGACCTCAATGCCCGCCTTCATGGCGATACACTTCCTCTAACAAGACCACACCTACTCCTACAAGGCCACATCTCCTAATAGTGCCACTCCCTTGGGGGTCATTTTCTTTCAAACCACCACACCCATCAATACATATTTTTTAAGATAGTGTATAGAAACATTTGCCTGTTACTTTATATTACCCCAAATTTTGGCTGTCTCAAACAGACTGTGTGGACACGTGCAGATGTACATGTGTATATGGGTGCATGTGGTTGTGGAGGCTTAGGACAGCCTAGGATTTTGTGAAGGACCCCTTTCCTCACTGGCTGTTAGCCAGAGGCTGCCCTCAGTTGGAAGTAGCTTCAAAAATGACTTTCAGGCTGGACAAGTGGCTTGGAGGTTAAGAGTACATCCTGCTCTTGCAGAGCATCCACGTTTGTTTCCTACCACCTATGTAGGGTGAGGTCACAACCATCCATGAAACTCTAGCTCCAGGGGGTGTTTGTCTCCCTCTTCTGGTGTCTCGTGGCACTGCACTCATGTACACCCCACCCCCACATACATGCACATCACCCTCCACACACATACACATAATTTGAAATAAGAAAATCTTTTGTAAAAGTGGTCCTTGGTGAGAAAGAAAAGGAGAGTGGAGAGGGGGTAAAGAGAGGTGGAGGTGGCAGAGAACTAGAGTCAGAGAATTTTGCAACCTAAGCACCTAAGTGGCATCCTGTTTTGCTGTACCCTCTTCACAAAAATCCAATTAATCAGTTTCATTGACACACAAAAAGAGGGGAGATTGCATAGGGCATGACCTCCAGGAACTAGGGATCACTAGGGGTCAATTTTAAGGCTTCCTAATACAAAAAGGTTTCAATATGTCCCCAGTATAATATAGTCTGCAGTTCTATCTATGACAAGCTGAAAGCAAGCCCCCCTCCAAAAAAAAAACCCGAAGAGGGGCTGCTCACAGCATTAAGTGTCAACATCTAACTTAAAAAATGGTGAAAGTTACCGGGCGGTGGTGGCGCATGCCTTTAATCCCAGCACTCAGGAGGCAGAGCCAGGCGGATCTCTGTGAGTTCGAGGCCAGCCTGGGCTACCAAGTGAATTCCAGGAAAGGCGCAAAGCTACTCAGAGAAACCCTGTCTCAAAAAAATGGTGAAAGTGTGGCTGGAAAGAGCTCACCAGTTAAGAGCAGGTACTGCTCTTGTACAGGACCTGAATTAGGTTCTCAGCACCCACATCAGGCAGCTCACAACTGCTCTTAACTCCAGCTCTAGAGAATCTGATGACTCTGATATGTGCAGGCATCTTCTCTCTCTCTCTCTCTCTCTCTCTCTCTCTCTCTCTCTCTCTCTCTCTCTCTCTCTGTGTGTGTGTGTGTGTGTGTCTCTCTGTGTCTCTGTGTCTCTGTGTCACACACACACACACACACACACTTAAAAATAAAATAACTTTTTTAAAATTCTGAAAGCCAGGTATAGTGGTGCACACCTTTAATTCCAACACCCAGGAGGTAGAGGCAGGTGTATCTCTCGAGTTTGAGGCCACCACCTGGTCTACATGACAAATTCTAGGCCAACCAGGGCTACACAGTGAGACCATGTGTCAAAAACTTTAAAAAAAATGGTGAGAGAAAAATGAAACAGCTATGCAAGAAAAATATGTAATTTCTCTTCAAGCATGCATGTGGTGCATGTATGTGCACACAGGTAGATGTGTCCATGTCTGTTCATACATGTGGAGGCCAGAGAGCAATGTTAAGCATCTTCTTCATCCACTCTCCCACTTAGTTTTGGAAATAGGGTCTCTCTTTGGAAATGAAGCTCACTGATTTGGACAGCACGGCTGGCCAGCAAGCCCCAAAGATCCACCAATCTCTGCCTTCCCAGCACTACGATTACAGGAGTAATCAGTGTGCCCAGCTTTGGATATGGGTTCTGGGGATCTGAACCAAGGTCCTTGCACTTATGCAGCCAGCACATTTCCCCCACTGAGCCATCTCCCAAACCCTGCTGCACATGGACTTCCTTTTCTGCTGCCAGCCCCAAATAATGACACAGAGACTTCTCTTTAATTATGAAAGCTTGGCCTAGAGCTTAGGCTTGCCCCACTAGCTCTTAAAACTTAAATTAACCCATTTGTATTAATCTATGTTTTGCCTCATGGCTTTTTATCTCTTTTCCATCTTGCACCTCCTGTTTCCTCTCTGTCCTCTGGTGTCTCTCCCATGCCTCGATTCATCTCTTCTTTCTCTCTCTTGCCAAGAAATCCTGCCTAACCTTTTCCTGCCTAGCTATTGGCCATTCAACTCTTTATTAAACCAATCAGAAGGTGTCTTGGCAAAGACACATCTTCACAGTGTACAAAAAGATTGTTCTACAATATTTCCTCCTTTTTGTCTAAATAAAGAGGAAACATTTTTAACTCTAACATAGTAAAACTATACACAATAAGAGCAATTATCAGGTATTGTCCAAATAAAAAGGGAAGATTTTAACTTTAACAAAGTAAAACTATATACAATAAAAACAATTTTCAAGTAAGAATTATATTCACAATGTTTAGTCCATTTGTATTTTACAAATTTGGAGAAAATACTATATTATCTATTCTATCTTAGTGAGTCCAAAGTTTTACACCTAAACCATTTTTTATCATAGCTTGTATTACTAATGTAAAAATATATTTTTAGACCTTAAAACATTTTCTTAGATAAACAATTTAAGCTTTTATGTCTCTCAACCTTATATATTTTATACCTCTTTTGTGAGTTTCTTTTCTGAATTTGGTAACAAAGAAAAGTGTAACTATATCTATCTCATCTTTAACTCCATCAGAGACCAGAGAAGGATAAAATATTACTTGAGTAAATAGAAAGTGCAGAGCAAACAACTTCCAAAATTAAGAAACAAAAGAGACATCTGGCTACCTAGACAGTCTCCCAAGGTTCCTCTGCAATATTGGGGCATCAATCCTCGACCTAAGGGCCTAAAATATTTGACAGACTTTTCTGTGAAGCAGGAATTTTGAAGGACTGTTCTACCTTGTTTTTGCAAAGTCTGGAAGTTGCCTTCTTTTTTTCCTGCTTGTCCAATTTGGACAGCATTCTGTTAGCAGCTGAGGCAAGGGCAGTTTCTTTGTCCAGTGGCTACCTTTTGCCACAAAGAAAGTAAACTCCATATGGAGGTTCTTTGATGCCCACCATCCTCTTTTGAAGTAAATTGGTGCTGCTAGGAACAGACATGTCTCACTGTCATGAAAAGCCTTATGTTATTAAAACATTTTAAATGTCGTATTCTGTAGATCTTTGAAGTGTTTGAAGACCACCTATCTATTTAAAATATATCTCTGTTTGACCTTGAAAACATACCTAACATGACTGCAAGTTTGATTGTTACAGGGGACTAACTACCGACCTGCATTTCTTTATTATCCTAAATAGTTTGTAATAATAACTTTCAATGACTAGAAATTTACATTACATTATTAAATGAGCTGTATAGGTACAATACCTAAAACAAGAGTAGAAACATATGTACAGTATGTTCTAACAAAAATAACCTTATATTTGTATCAATATACAAAAATGCCTTAAACAAGAGGGGAACATATTTACAGTACAACAAAAATAACCTTAAGTTTATATCAATATACAAAAATCCATACCAATGTAAAATATTTGAGGCTAGTGGTTGTTCAAAGGTAGACTCAATAATCCACCCTTTCATCCCATCATTTCTATACTATAACTCCATTTTTCCTTCAGAAAGAGATCCCTGAATATAATCTCCTTTGTTTAGCTTTATCCCTGGCCATGACCAGTAACAATTTGTAACCAGTGCCCCTAAATGATGACAAACATCCATAACCCACCAAAAAACTAAAAACCACCCACCCCGCCTTTTGGGAATATGGACATTGTATTCTCTAGACTGCTTCCTGTTGTCTGGGGTGCTGGCATCTTTAGGGACCCTGAGGAAATGGAGATAATGGTCAGTCCTGGGAAAACCAGCCATAACATTTGTTGTCCAGTCTCTGTGCAATGGGAAAGCACAAGGCTTATCTGCAGTCCTGGCTAGAATAGTCTGTGAGGCTGGACCATCTCAGCCAGCAGCCTTGAAGCTGTTCTGGATACAGAACTCTGAGGAAACTGCAACAGAGGCACTCTGAGTGGCTGAATCATCTGGGTCACTCATTTTCATTGGTTTCTGGTCCCCTTGATCTGAAAACACAGAAAACTTTCAAATGTAACATGCATATCTGGATTAACATAAGTATGGACTGTGTGTTGTACACAAGCCAGGCAAAGATGATTATTTTATTTTATGTTTTAGCAGGTAAATATATGTCACCTGTCTTGTAGTTTTTCTAGATTTATTTCTTTATGTCTATAGCCAGGATTTTTAGAAGGTCTCCTCTGATCAACCCTGACCTTTATCAACCTTGAATGAATCCATAGCCTTTTGTTTTCTGAGGAAATAAAAGCATAACCTCCTCCCCAAAGTAATACATTTTCTGACTTCCATTTTAAAGTTAAGGCATCCCTAAAGTATGTAGGCTGTTTTAATTCAGCAATCCCTCTCACAATCCAATGTCTTTTAGCAGCTGTTGTTTGGTCACAGCAATCAAAAATTCAAAATCAATAAGACACCATATAGGATCCAAACTCCCTGTGTATTTTCCATCTTTATGTGGTTTATCATTTTTATATTATTTTATTTCATCTTTAAAGACTTATAAACTATTTTTTCTATGACTGTCTATACTCATTTTCTTTTCTTTTTTAAGCCTATGCACATTTTTTTAAACACACTGCAACCTGTTTAGAGTTTTTTTCCACCTGGATCTGTCTTTACTGAGCATCTACAGCATCCTCTGACTGCGTGAGACAAATCGTAAACTGCTATGTCAGCCACTGTGTGGCTCAGCTTAGCACATGGAGCTGGTCCCTGGCATTGGCAGCTGGGTCCAGCCCACAGGCAACAGCCAGGAGCTGTTTTTCTGTATGCTGCTGAGCCTACCTGGGAGATCGCAGTCACCAGGAAGCCACGTTTGACTCTGTGTTCTGAACTTTTGTTTCTTTTTTAATCTTTCTCAGGTCTTATGTGGATATAGGTGGCCGGACATTGGGGGACCATGAGTAGACAGACAGACTTTCTTTTCCGCTGCCAGACTCAAATGACAACACAGAGACTTCTTACTAATTATGAAAGCTTGGCCTAGAGCTTAGGCTTGTCTCACTAGCTCTTAAAACTTAAATTAACCTATTTATATTAATCTATGTTTTGCTTCATGGCTTTTTACCTTCCTTCCATCTTGCGCCTCCTCTTCCCTCTCTATGTCCTCTGGTGTCTCTCTCATGCCTCAATTCATCTCCCTTTCCTCTCTCTTTGCCAAGAAATCCTGCCTAACCTTTTCCTGCCTGGCTATTGGCCATTTAACTCTTTATTAAACCAATCAGAAGGTGCCTTGGCAAAGACACATCTTCACAGTGTACAAAAAGATTGTTCTACAACACCCTGTATTTCCCTTTTTATTGCGAGAGATGTATTTCTCTTTTTCTGGTTTCCCTCAAATTAGCTATGGCCAGGGAGCTTATCTCAGCTTCTTCTGTAAACCAGTGGATGGTTCCAAATGTAGAAAGTCTTACTTGAGGAAAAATTAATTCCATTGAAATGTCTACTTATGTGTTTACCAGATTTAAATCTCAGTGCACTTACATAAGCAAACAACAGAAATTCATTTCTCTATGATTTTAAAACCTATTCATACCTGGTTTCAGGTAGAAGAAATGCTATCCAGTTGTACCCTGTAAGTTGATTGATAAAAGACACTCACATGTTATGTCTTCACAGTAGTCCACTGACTTCCTTATTATCAAGCCTTTGCATATGGCCCTGGTGTGGCTATTTGCAGGACACAGTGCTCCCTGCAAGGGTAAATAAAATCTTTTATGAAGTGATTGTATCAATGGGAAAATATAGAGATTTCAGTTTTAAAATTTTTGCAGGCAGATCTTTGGCTAAAGGATGGACAAAAACATCCAGTTAGAGGTTGGAAAGATGGCTCAGTGGTTAAGACCACTTGTCACCCTTGCATGAGACCTAGGTTCAGTTCCCACATAGTGTCTCACAACTATCTGTAACTCCTGTTGCAGGGGATCCAATGCCCTCTTCTAACCTCCAAAGGCACCAGCCACCCATGCGGTGCACATACATACATGTAGGCAAAGCATCCATATACACAAAATAAAATAAATACATTTCTGAAAGAAATGTTTAAATACCCACCTAGTGAAATAAACAAGTACAAAACGGTGTCGGGGAGGACATGAGAACATCTATGTTGTGTATCAGGACCATTTTTGTCTGCTGGCCTCAATGAACTTTATTACTGCAGTTATAGATGAGGAATGGCAGAGAACCCAGTGCAGCCCTAGAGAGACATGCGTAGAAGTCGCCAGTGAGCTGGGAAAGACAACCAACACGTTCTTCAAGCCCCCCTGTGTGAACGTGTTCCGGTGTGGAGGCTGCTGCAATGAGGAGAGCGTGATGTGTATGAACACAAGCACCTCCTACATCTCCAAACAGGTACGAGGAAATGAAGACATTGCCGCTGACCTTGTTACCAAGCACTGAGCTAAATACTTCATGTGGTGAAGCTCATTTAAATCCCTAGACAAACTCAGAGGATATCTTAGCCTCCTTTTCAGAGAAAGACGTTGAGGCTTAGGGAGGTAACATAATATCCAACACGACACAGCCTCATTCAGTTACCATCTACCTAATGCTGTAATATCAAGAATCGGTACATTCAGACATTACTAGAACAGGGTGTTAAAAGGAATGGAGGAAGCCATGCTGTCTTATGTAGCTGTTTGGGTGTGTGGAATTTAATTGGAATAACTGAGAAGAGTTGAATGAGAGTGTGGATGGGGTTGGAGGAAGAAAGAAGGAAGAATGCAACAAGAACCAGCTAAGAGCGGGAAGGTGGTCTCACCCCCAAACTGAAGAGGCTGAAGGAGGAAGAAGGCAGAGGAACAGAGGGGAAATGGTGGAGGACTTCTCACTTGGTGACTGCCAACCATTAGCATGGTAGAGAATGCAAGCAGGTGCTGGGAGAGTCAAAGCCGCCAGTTACAGAGGCAGTGACAGCCGGTATAGAGCCTGAAAGGGAAAGGATGAGAGGACAGATCTCTAGGGTGGAGTGGGGAACAAAGGGAGAATGGGCAGCACAAGAGACTTTTGAAAGAATCCCGCAGTGTCCATGAAGGAAATAAAATAAAGGAATCAAGTGACCTTTGCCCTGTAGCTAAGTGTCTGTGGCTACCATCTTCTTGTAAATGTAGATGCTGCGTGTGGGACCTGAAGTAACCCCCTTAGGAAAGCATTATTAAAATGCTGGAAACCAAGCCACATTCCTTTGGTCCTCTGTTGAATTCCTCACGTGTTGCTACAACTCATTTATCACATTTGCTTGTCTCCTCACGATCATGCAGTACAAGACAATTACATAGACGCTGAATACATCCATGCCAAGGAATGTTCTAAACGCCCATTTGTTTTGCTAATAGGTTAAAGTGTTCTTAATTTTGTTCCCTGCTACCATCTAAACTGTCCTTGAAACCATAGAAATTTTGTGTCTGAACCCTTTTGGAGAATTTTGGAACTCAAGATATCTGACCCCTACTATTTGATAATTAGAAACAATGACATAAGAATGGCTATGATAAACGGTTAGTAAACCAAAGCTTGCATAACATAGAAGAGTTCAGTGTCTGATCATGTTATTCCATGGAGCATAGCTGAAGAATTGTGCAAGAACATGAAGTTTATGCAGAAAAACACCCTTCCTTGTTCTCAGGGAAGTTCCATGACATGTTGAGTGGTCCGAATAAACACAACCTTAAAGAATGGTTTCCACTTAGTAGATAGTTGATTGCTTTGTTTTGACTGCTGCACTCAACAAATGATTCATATGAAGAAATTTACTCAAGTGTAAATGCACAGAAGTTTTTCTTTCCAAATAGGCATACGTGTGCACTTTGGCAGTTCCTACCTTAAAGGTACAGACTATGCGATGAACTGCTTCTTAGAAACAAAGTAAATAGAACTTCATGGAATGGTAATTGAGTGGAAATGCCTTAAAAATCAAATTCAAATTCATCTACACTTCATGGAACCACTCTAGAAACTTCTGTACACACTTTAGGCATGTCTTTCTCAATCTGTCATGTAAAGACCATTAAAAATATAATTAAAATTTTTTTTTAATTTTATTTTTATCAGTCTGTGTGTGTGTGTGTGTGTGTGTGTGTGTGTGTGTGTGTGTGTGCGCGCGCGCGCGCGCGCGCGCCACCTGAGTGAAGTGCCTGTGAAGGCCAGAAGAGGGCACCAGATTCCCCTGGAGCTGAAGTTACCTGTATAAGCCACTTGATGTGGGTGCTGGGAATTGAACTCAGGTCCTCTGTAGGTGCAGTAAGTGCTCTTAATTAATGAGCCATCTCTTCTGCTCCCTCAAATATAATGTTTTTACAAGTGATAAATAAATTAATAATAAATATTTACAATAGACCAGGCATATAGAGACATAGAAATAGACACACTAGCTATAATTATCTGTCTGGGTATGGTTTTAACTTAGGTGCACGATGCTTTTATACCAAATGCCCTAAAATTCAGGAGCTTTAGACAATGATAAATTATTCTTTTTTGTGTATCTGAGGTTCGAAATACTCCAAGGTGCTGAAAGTCGTGGCCTGCTTCCTGTGTCCCCAATCTCTTGGACCAGCATGGCTTCCAGGTTATATTCTTCTTGTGGCTATACCATAACCAAGAAAGAATAAATCTCACAAAGCATACACAGTCCACATTGTATTATGTCATGTCAGCTAACATCTTATTGGCCAAAACAAGTGTCATGGCCAAGCTCAAAGTCAAAACATAGGAAATTGTCTTTCATTAATAGTAATGGTTTGGGAAGGGATGAATAAATAGTTTAAATAACAATCAAATCTACCCAAATCTCAAAGAACCTCCAAGGATTTAATTTTCATTTATCCTTACAATTTATACTCAAATTTAAAACAAGAGCAGGGACCAGTGGTACCATTTTCAAGAACTCTAGTGATGGCAAAAAGAATAGATTTGGAAAACACTTAAGAGACTTTACCAAGCTGGAGAAGCCCTCGGTTTCCTGTCTCCCAGTATTCCAAGCCTCTTACAACGACTAACTCCATTCTGCATGGATAACTTTGCTGAAGTCATTACCATAAACGACAATGGCAAAAATACAGACTGTGGAAACTGAAAAAAGTCTATAATAAAATTTACATCATGGTTCTCTCTCTTTGCTGTAGCTCTTTGAGATATCAGTGCCTCTGACATCAGTGCCTGAGTTAGTGCCTGTTAAAATTGCCAACCATACAGGCTGTAAGTGCTTGCCCACCGGCCCCCGCCATCCCTACTCAATTATCAGAAGATCCATTCAGATCCCAGAAGGAGATCAGTAAGCATTTCCTGGACTTGATAATGTCTGTTTTTTGTATTGACAAAATTGTGTGTACATTCTTTTATTCCTTTACTCATTATAGAGGCATCCCCAGAAAGACATGTGTTGCGTATTTTCTGTCTTGTGGAACATAAGAAACAAAAAATCATGAAAGTGGAAGGGGAATTTTTAGGGAAAAGAAAGCAGATGAAGAGGGGGAAGAGGGGAGATGGTAAAAGTACAAGTAAAGCTAAAGAAAATATATTTTATGCATTCTTGAATAGGGCATGGTCAAAACCATTATTTTTCACAATATAGATTAATAAAAATGTTGAAGAAACAAATAGCAAAATTATAAAATTATCATCTCTTCATTAAAATTCTTCATCATTTGGCTTCAAAACCAGATCTATTCATAGTATTTGACAAACATATCATATATATATATACATATACATATACATATACATATACATATATATATATATATATATATATATATATATATATATATATATATATATATATATGTATGTATATGCAGTAGGGCCCCAAACCACCTTGATGATGGTTATAAACTCAGTATGTTTACTTGCAGACACCTTTGAGGATTTTTGTGTGTGTGTAGTTTTTGGTTTATTTTGCTTTTGCCTTTCTATGACAAGGTCACACTTTGTATCTCTGACTGGCCTGAAACTTACCATATGGACCAGGCTGCCTCAACCCTCAGAGTTCTGCTTCCCTCTGCCTCTTGAGTGCTGGGATTAAAGATGTACTGCCACATTGGCCCAACACTTTTATTCTTAACATGAGTGGTGTCAGCCTCAAAGCTGCCATGTCTTCCCTCACACCAGAGCAAGCAGTGACTCTCCTAAATTCCAGTTTACTTTCTAAAGTTTTCCTTAAAAGAATATTTACAACTATAGAATTACTATCTAATAAGATGCCATTCATAAATAGAAATTAAGCTTTATATTTTATTTTGTTTATGTTTCTTTCTGTGTATGCCTGTTTGTGGGTTTGTGCACATGTGTGCATGTGCTATTGGAGTCCAGAAGAAGGTGCTGGATCACTTGGAGCTGGAGTTACAAGTGGTTGTGAGCCAACCCACACGGGTGTTGGGAACTGAACTCAGGTCTCATAGAAGAACAGTACTCACTCTAAACTCCTGAGCCATCTCTCTAGCCCCACAGTTAAGGTCTTTAAAACTGTAATTGTTCTCACACAGTTGTCTTTTCTTAGCAGTCACCATGCTGTGTGACATAGTGCTCTCAAACATTTGTTCTCCTGCATCACTCTTAGAACAAAATTTGAAAGCATTAACATGTTCCACACAAAACATTTTAATGATTAGATATTAAATATTGAATCCAAAGTAGAATTACCTTGAAAATTTTTAAAATATGGCTCATTATTTTCTTTTCCTAGATGTTCTCATTCCAAGAAACTCTGTCCTATTGACATGCTGTGGGATAACACCAAATGTGAATGTGTTTTACAAGATGAGAATCCACTCCCTGGAACAGAAGGTAATGATGGTGATAGTGAAGTAATAACCACAATAATAAAAAGAACATAAGCAGTCAACATCATTGAGTACTTACTATGACCAGGTTTATTTAGTTACGTTTTTGTTGCTGTGATAAAAATATCATGACCAAAAGCAACTTCAGGAAGAAAGAGCATATTTTGACTTATGGTTCAAGAGTAATAGAATCCATCATGGTGGAGCAGGCAGGCCTGGCATCTGGAGCAGGAAACTGGCTAATCACATTTCATCTACACACAGGAAGCAAAAAGAAAACAGGAAGTGGGGTGAGACTATAAACCATCAAAGCCCGCCTCCAGTGATATACTTCCTCCAGAAAGGCCCCACCTCCTAAGAGTTACATAACTTCCTGGAACAAAACCAACTGGGGATCAAGTGTTCAAATACTTGTGCCAATGGGGCCCATTTCTCATTCAAGCTATAACATCAGGCATCGTTGTAATCTTCATGACAACCCTATGATTGCCCCTTTTCACAAGCACACAGTGTCCACCCCAAGATATCTAGTAATTTCCTCACCATCACATAGATAACAGTGGCAGAAGCATTTGGATTCTAGAGCCTTCTCTGTTGCGGCCATATCCACCAATGAATCACTCTACTGTTCATTCTCAAAGAAAAGTACAGAATGGCCAAAGCATCCCAAAGCATGCTTTCAAAACCAAACATTAAACTTTAAATCTACTTCAGGGTGAAGCACACAAGGTCTTTTGGGACTTGGTTTCTTCCAACTGTACCATTTGAAATCAAGCCAATAATCTGGAAAAAAAATAAAGGATGGAAGAAGAACATGGGGAAACATTTTTCTAGAGTTGGAGCAAACCATGGCATTGGTCTCAGCCACACTGGGAATTGCTAGCCTGTCATTCTGTCTCCCAGTCTGTAAATCTGTGAGTCCTGGGATGAATATATGGTTGAACATACATGAGTTTTTTATTTGCTCCCCATAACATGTGACATGGTTCCACTGAAAACTATCACAGGGGATCATGCAATGTAAATCTTGCTTGTTTTAAACTGTGATCTATCAAGAATAGCAAGCGTTCAGCCCCATGGTATCTGTCACAGAAACTAAATAGCAAGCTGTTATTTGTAGTTGTCCTGTTTTTCTGGTTCTCAGCAGCTTTCTAAATGTTTCTCTGAGAGCTCAAACTAGGATGTGAAGTAATATATTTTTAAAGTTATGTAATTAAAGGCTCACACATATAGATTGAACACAGACACAATATATCAAATGGTGACAATCAAGGCAGCATACCACAATGCAGTTACTCAAAAGTCATCAGCCAGCCCTACCTGGAGTCAGAGCCAAGGAAGTCCCTGGGGGGACATCTCAAATAAGCAGATTGGATCTTACAGACTATGGGAGGGTTAATTCTTGGTGAGGACTCATTGGGTAGGCTCATGTATTGAGGATGGAAGGCCTAGTAAGGAAGGAGAGATGTGCTCTGAGCAATGGGGCTGTAAGAGCTCAGCACTGAGGTGAGAGAGCAAAGTACAAACCTGATGCTGAAAAATGTTAGCAGGGTGCTGGGGTATGTCAGTTACTTTTCTTGTTGCTGTAACAAAATACCTGACAAAAGCAATAGAAGGAGGGAAGGAGGGAAGGAAGGGAAGAAGGAAGGAAGGAAGGAAAGAAGGGGCTTATTTTGGTTTTTGCTTGGACAGGGAACAGCCTGCCATGCTGGGGATGACCTGGCAGCATTAGCATGAGAGGGCTGATCACATTGTGTCCACAGCCAGGAAGCAGACAGAGATGGCTGCTCCTGCCCATCAGCCCTTCCTGTTCCTCCCCCTCCTTTTATTCCGACTGGGTACCCAGCTCACATTTACAGTGGGTCTTCCTCAGTTAAACCTCTCTGATAGTGTCCTCATAGGCATACCCAGAGGTATACATCCTGTGTGGTTCTAGAATCCAGTAAAGTCAACAAAGAAGATGAACCATATCACAAGGACATATATCATACTGGGGAAAGGAGTACATACGAAGAGACAAAGCTGGGGGAACTCCTAGGATTAGAGTGGAAGGACTTTGTAAGCTTGTGCTGGAAGAGCCTGGGTGTGATCTTCTGGACAAATAGAAACCAGCCAAATGATTCAAGAAGGAGACTGGTAACATCTGTCGGAATTGTAAAAAGATCAAGCGAGCAACAGTGCAGAAAAGAATTGAGTTGACCTGAGCAGGTGAGGGAGCAGGGAACTTCTGGGGAAACTGTCACAATGGTGGAAGTGAGGAAGGAGGGTGGATTGCATCCCAGTTACTTCTAGTTTTCATCACTCATAACATCCTCATGTGCCCAAGTTCCCATGTGTTTCTCCAGTGGTCCCATTCAACTGATGACACATTACTTTCTGCATACAAAGCTGTTGAGCGAATTGCCTTTTCTACACTTATTTACTCTCCAAATGGATGTGGTTGGTGCAAATCCAACTCATTTTCCTATCATTTCTATAATGAATAAAACATAGTAATAGTAGTGAATGGAACAAGGCCGAGGACAGAATGCAGTGGGAACCCAGAGTCAACCTCCCTAGGGAAGGAAATAATCGATATGTAAGACTTCAGGATGTCAGCCTCAGCTGGCTGCTGTTTGACCTAGTTCTCCTGCATCCAGTCTCTGTTCCATTTAACTTGCTTGTAAGGACATAATGTTCTGCTTCTGCCACGTAATCTGCTGAACACCTCAGGATTGTGTTCCCCTAAACTACTCTAAGAATGGAGCTGGGACTGCATGACACTTTCTTGTGTGTCTCTGCTGCCACCTAGCGCTCAATGACTCTCTTAAGAGTCTTAACTATTTTTCAGTCATCTAGCCTTGGCCTAAATTAACATTTGCCTCAGTGACTTAGAGCATATGCTGCTCATCTTTTTCCTCTTCATGAAACAAAGAATGGAGTCTTTGTGTATATCCAGTCCATGTAATTTCTAAATATGTGTCAATTAAAGAGCAGTCAAAACCATGAGACTAGATCATGAGAGATTGCCATTTGGGGATGATGTGGGGGAGAAAAGAGGGAGAAAGGGAAGGGTGAGAATGAGGGGTCAAGATCATGGAAGGTCTTTTAATGTTTATAGATTCTGGTATAAAATTTGCCCTTTTGTGTGTGAAGGCAAACTTTAAGACATTTAAAGCATGGCTGGGCATGGTGGCTCACATCTTTAATCCCAGCACTCAGGAGGCAGAGGCAGAAAAAAAAACAACAGGCATTTAAAGCTTCAGTGGTGATGGGATCAGGTTTGCATTTGAGAGTCACCTGAGGGGGAGACTGAGGAGATACACGCTGGGGCTGTGACACGAGCGGCAATCACCAACAAAAGAAATACAAGGCACTGAGTGACTTGTGACAGAGGCAGTGCAGTGGAGAAGGGAGGGCATGGACAAGGGGCCGAGTGGACACAGTGACCACACAATCTATTGGACAGTGGGGCCAGTCCCCAAATGAGGCAAACCGAAAAAGAAGTGGGTATGGGGAAGCGATAGTCATCTTCCAGAACCGTCACGAATGCTGAGGTGAAAAGCGCAAGTTCTTCCAAACTTTTCACCTTCTCCACGTGCTTGCGTTTGCTTGTCGTTTGAGACGGATGCTTACGTGCTACAGCCTAGCCTTAAACACGATATATAACAGAGGATGGCCTAGAACTTTTGATCCTCCTGCCTCTACCTCTGGAGTGAGTGCTAGGATTGCAGTCATGTGTCACCACACCAATTCACTGGAGATTGAATCCAGAACTTCTCGTGTGCCCTAGGACAGCATTCTACCAGTGGAGTCACACCCCCAGCCCACCTCTTCTTACCCTTTGGGCAACGAATTTCAGTTCACTGGCTGAGCGAGACTGGACCACAGTTCATTGTCACTTTTATGTGTTTCATACAAGTGAGGTGATCTGAGACGAGGAAGTGCATCATTGGTTATCTGGAAGTCCTGGGGAAAATATTTCTAGAACATCAGTACTCCTAGTTCCCACTCTCCTAAAACACTGGCAAGGACTACATTCATACCCCTTATACAGCCTGGGTCTTGTCACCTTGTCACTACTGGCTGGTTGCATAAGTGTGTGTGTGTGTGTGTGTGTGTGTGTGTGTGTGTGTGTGTGTGTGTGTGTGTGTGTGTGTGTGTGTGTGTAGTTAAAGATTTATTTTATTTTTATGTGTATGAGTGTTTTGCCTCATTGTCTGCACGTGGTGTGCATGCAGTGCCTGTGCAGGCCAGAAGAGGGCGACAGACCCTCTGGGATTGTACTGGTAATTTTAACTTGCCATGTGGGTGTTGAAAACCAAACCTGGGTCCTCTGTGAGAGCAGGGAGTTCTCTTAAGCCCTGAGCCATCTTTCCAGCACAGAAGTATATATTCTTAACAGGTCACTCGGCAACATAAAAATCTGTCAGAAATATTCAGCTTATGATAGTTTTTATTAAAAACCTAAGAAAACATATGAGTTATACGTTTAGGTTGTGAAATCACAGATGTATCTTACTCACCCTATTAAAAAAATTAAGGCCAAAAATCTACAGGCAAGGAAATTGGGAGGATCCACGTTTTATTGGGAAGATGTAGAACTTGCAATTAATTTGGATCATTGGATCCTCTAGGCTTCAGCTGCCAAACCAACACTTTTCTGTTTCTGTTTAGACCTTTCTTACCTCCAGGAACCAGTTCTCTGTGGACCACACATGAAGTTTGATGAAGATCGTTGTGAGTGTGTCTGCAAAACATCATGTGCTGGTGATCTCATTCAGCACCCAGAAAACTGCAGTTGCTTTGAATGCAAAGAAAGTCTGGAGAGCTGCTGCCAAAAGCACAAGATTTTTCACCCAGAAACCTGCAGGTCAATGGTCTTTTCGCTTACCCCTTAACTTGCTTGACTGGTGGCATTTAAAGGACATCCTAATCTGATTTCATGGGGCTCCTTGTTCTCATTGCCCAAGCACCCCCTTAATAAGACAGACAGAGGTTTGGCATCTAAGACATAAGTGGAAGTTTATAGAGTAATGATTAACTTTTTTGTTGTTGTTCCAAAACAGGATTTCATGAATTACAGACCCTCACCACCATGCCTGCTATTATGCTATCATAAGCAAAAAAAGAAGTCACTGACATTTAAGCAACCAGGTTAAGAGAGGTTCAGATCAGCAGACTAATTCTCTCTGTTTCTCTGTCTGTCTCTGTGTGTGTGTGTGTGTGTGTGTGTGTGTGTGTGTGTGTGTGTGTGTTCTTGATGAAGAGGCTAGCACTAGATTCCTGTAGGCAAGATATGGATGACTATAATCCTTGGAGGTCGTTGATTGGGCTTTGATCAATTTCAAAACCTACCCAAACTAACCACTGAGATTTTTTTTAATAATTAAATTTGTCTTTGACAATTTCATGCACATATAAAATGCATTCTAATTACTTTTACCCCTACACTCTTTGAACCCCAGCACACTCTTGTCAACCCATTTCTTCCCTGCAAGTCCCTTTCCCACACCCAGGTCTTTCTGTTTTGTTTTGTGACCCACTAAGGGCAGTTGGAGCCATCTGTGTGACCACAGGCTTGGAACTCTCTGTCAGAGCTCATTCCGCTCACCCACCAGTAGGTCCACAACTGAAGACAGTGACTCCCCGTCTCCCAGATTCTATCAGTAGCCAGCCCACAGTTCATTACAGAGGGGTAGGGCCCCAAGAGCCCCTCACAAATGCGTAAGTAGCTGTTGAGAAGTTCCACCTTGTGCAGGCCTAGGGCAGATTCTTGCTGCTGCTGTGAGGTCCTGATTGCAAAGGCTGCAACATGCCTAGAGGATGGTATGCCTAATCCTTCTCTCTGTCTTCTGATTCTGACATTTTCCCAGCTCCTCTTCTCCTACGTGCCCTGGGCTTTAGAGGAGGAGGCATCAACATCTTGGTTAAGGCTGAGCCCTCAGCCGGTTGAGTGCCCATTTAGAATATTACATTGACACTTTAAATACATGTCTGGAAATTCTCCTTTGAAAGCAGAATCAAATGAAATCAGAACTGAATGCTTTATCTGAAGTTGATCCTTGCCTCTAAAGTCTCGTCTTCACTTTCTTTTCGACAGCTGTGAGGACAGATGTCCTTTTCATACCAGAACATGTGCAAATAGAAAGACATCCTATGGAAAGCACTGGCGCTTTCCAAAGGAGAGAAGGGCCTAGGGACTCCACAGTCAGGAGAATCCTTGATTCAACTTTCTCCCAAGTTCCCCACCCCCGTCATTTTAAACAGCAGTCTGCTTTGGCTAGTTGCTCTCACTGGTGCCCAACCCCCAGGTGTTAGAGAAATTGATTTTCTCTAGTGCCATGGTGAATCCACATTTCCATGCAATAGCTGCTGTGTGATTCTCTGGGTCCCTGACAGATTACTTCTAGCTTCAGATGCCTCTGCATACCAGTGCTCAGAGAGGAAGGGGTCTGCGGGAGCCCATTGTTTTGATGAATGGGCAAGGGTTGCCTGCCATCGACTAGCAGGTACCATGTGATTGATCACTCAGACTGGCAAAGTCCGAGTGCAGTGCTTATGAATTATTCTGGTTCTTTCTTATGTGGAATTTCATTTGTATGATCAGCACTGATGTAATTCCTGTTCAGCTTGTACTTTTCAAGTTTCCTGAACCACTGCCTGATGTTTCATATTTAAATGTATTTAAAGGAAATAAACATCATTATTCAAACCATAGAACTTGGTGTTGTTTACTATGCTATTCCTCTACATTTCATGCTAATGGGAAATATTTTCAAGACAAAAGGAAATCTAGAAATGGGCGGTTCAGGGAACACACAAATAAACTAAAACTATAACTCAGTTTTGGGAAGCCAAAGCAGAGCTCCCAGAAGGTTTATCATTCTAAACAAGGGCGACACAGGAATGCTGGTGTGTGTTAAATAACCCTGTGGTGTGTGAATAAATTAAACTTGATCATCATCCTTTTATGGAGAGCAGTCTAACAATGCTAACATCTCTCAATGACCTGGAATTAACCAAACAAAACCTGTGTGTGTGTGTGTGTGTGTGTGTGTGTGTGTGTGTGTGTGTGTGTGTGTGTGTGTGTTGCACTTGCATGTATGATTGTGCACCGTGTGCATGTTGTGTCCTTGGAGGCCAAAAGAGGGCACCATATCCCCTGTGGTTGGAGTTACATTTTCTTGGGAGCCACCATGTGGGTGCTGGGAATCACACCCAGGTCCTCTGGCAAAACAGTCAGTGCTCTTAACTGCTGAACCTTTCTCCATCCCCTGCTCTTCACATCTTTGAGTGTTTGAGATTCCTCTGAAAGCCCATGCCCCTCAGTGTTTCTGCATGTGTGCATCTTTCAGTCTCATCTGTTGTTGCTTGTTTTTTTTACTCTTTTGTAGGGGCCTGCCACCCAGCTCCCAAATAAATCATACACAGAGGCTTAGTCTTAATTATGAATGCCTGGCCTTAGCGTGCCTTAATTTCTAGCCAGCTGTCCTTAGCTTAAATTATCCCTGCTATCTTTTGCCTCTGGGCTTTTTCCGTTCTCTTACTTCTGTAAATCTTACTCTTACTCCATGGCTTGCTGTGTAGCTGGGTGGCTGGCCCCGGAGTCCTCCTCATTCTCTGGCTGCTAGATCATCTCCTCTCTCTTCATTCCTCCATCTCTTCTCTCTTTTTCCTAGATCTTCCTTTTCTATCTATACTCTCTGCCTCCCAGTCCCACCTATCCTTTCTCCTGCCTTGCTATTGGCCATTCAGCTTTTTATTAGACCATCAGGTGTGTTAGGCAGGCAAAGTAACACAGCTTCACATAGTTTAACAAACACAGCATAAACAAAAGTAACATACCTTAAAATATTATTCTACAACACTCATCCACATGTCAACTTGGGTGGCACCGTGATTCTTCTCTTTGTTCCCATAGCTGCCCAAGAAGGGAGGACAAGGCCTTTCCTTTTTTCTTTTCTGTGCCTAAAGTGCTCCTACTGCTGGTGGTATGGCTCATCAGAGGGAATTAAATAGCACTGATCTCTCTGAGCACTGTGCATAGATAAGACAGGGAGACAAACACACACACACACACACACACACACACACACACACACACACACATTCTATTACAGCAGTTACCACACAATTGTGTAAATAGTTGTGTTTAGATCTGTCTACCACAACCCTTTTAGGATTGGAGAATTTCCTGGTCATAAGTATGTAACCCAAATTTCTCACTCAGGTCAGACCACCCTGGAGCAGGACAGTCACAAAGAGAAAGATAGAGATAAAAAAATATAACCCCGTGGTGGTATTGTTGGATCCTGGCCTAAATGCCTGTCCTTCCTCTTTAAATTTGCTAAGCAGGTCCTGGGTTCTCCTTTTATTTGTTTAAGTTGTCTGAAGCTTGTAGATTGGGGGCTTTCAATACGTTCTAGCTTTATTTCTAGTCCCTGATTGTTTTCCCTGTCTCTGTGTCTCTCTCTGTCTCTGTCTCTCTGTCTGTCTGTCTGTCTCTCTCTGTCTGTCTCTGTCTCTGTCTGTTTCTCTCTGTCTCTGTCTCTGTCTGTCTCTCTCTGTCTCTCTGTCTCTCTGTCTCTCTGTCTCTCTCTCTCTCCTTTCATTTTGTATGTAGCTATGGGGCTTTTCCTGGAGCAGTTCCATGAAGCATCTGCTCATTCCAAAACAATGAATTTTGCAAAAAGAGAAAGAGTGTATTCACAAAGTGGCAGTGAAATGTGAAAGGGTGAGACCTAAATCTCAAACCTGCCTTCCAGAGGAGAGAGCACAGGGATATTTATGGGATAAAGAAGTAGGCTGAAAGGTGATTAAAGGGGACACAGTCGACGCTCTATGAATATGTAATTAATCTTCGTGGTTCTCCATGGAACATTTGTTCATAAAACAACAGCATTAGCAAGACCCATGATATTAGCAAGATCCGTGGGTGGAGCTTTCACACACACCTCCCACATCAAAAGGTCACACACATTGGACTTCTGCACAGGCCCAAGGGACTATTTGGAAGGTACAACATAAGCAGCCTTTAAACCCCTGAGAAGTGTACTAGGCAAGTGTTACCACCTTGACCCACAGGTCAGAAGTGTCATGTACAGCAGGGCTGAGGGAGGGGGAATAATAACATACTGGGCTGCATAGCCTCCAGAATTAGTGAGTTTTACAGTCAGCTGAAAACAGGTAGTTGAAAGCAAGAAATCCAGATGGCTTTCTTAGGTTTTCATCTGGATTTCAGAAGTAGTCTGATTCTGCTGTCGCTATCCTTGCTCAGACACTTCCTGCTACTGGCCCAGTCCCACCTCTCTTGTTGAATGCTTGCGCTCTCCCTCTGTGCCCACAGTGCTGCTGATGGCCTCTCCCTTCTCTCTCTCTCTCCTTTTTTTTTTTAAACAAATTTCTGAACGGGCTCACAAACAACTAGGTTTTATAAAGTGCACTTAGCATTCAATTCCCTGTCTTGTCATTTCATTCACATCCTCCTACCATACACTCTTCCAAGGTATTTGGTGATGATCCCCTGATGATGGAGACAGAAGACAATCCAAGTGTTTTGACCATGCAGAGATAAATGAGTTGCTCCACTCATTCATTTTTTATTTATTTATTTATTTATTTATTTATTTATTTATTTTGATTTTTCGAGACAGGGTTTCTCTGTGTAGCTTTGCGCCTTTTCCTGGAACTCACTTGGTAGTCCAGGCTGGCCTCGAACTCACAGAGATCCGCCTGGCTCTGCCTCCCGAGTGCTGGGATTAAAGGCGTGCGCCACCACCGCCCGGCTTCATTCATTTTTTAAATGGATTTTTAGATTTTATTTTATGAGTGTTTTACTTGCATGTATGTATGTGTAGTTCATGTATGCCTGGTACCCAAGAGGGTGTTGAATACCATGGAACTAGAGTTAGAGACAGTTGTTAACTGCCATGTGGACATTAAACACTGAACCCGGGTCCTCCGCAAGACAATAAATGCTCTTAACCATTGAACCTTCACTCCAGCCCTCAGCTCATTCCTGATAGGTTCAAAAGGAGACCCTCAGCTCATTCCTGATAGGTTCAAAAGGAGAGAGGTCAAGTCCCCGATGAGGAAAGAAGACATAAGTTTAAGGAGAAGTTCCACCACCTCATTTCATTGGGAGGTTGAACAACCTTGTTGAACTTTAGCTCCCTCATTCCATTTGAGTTATTAGTAGTGAAAACAAATTGATCAATTCAACATATTTTACAAATCAAAGGCCTTATCTGATAGAAGGATTCCTTTGGACAAATCCTACAAATTTGGGGCCTTTGAAAGTTTTGGGCTTATATCGAATCTTTGGATTAAAAGTATTTTGGCTTAAAATGGCTCTGGCTCCCTAACTGCCATTTATAGGGAGATAGCCCAGGAAGTCATGAGGCCAAGGGCCAAATTAACTTCTGCTTGGCTTGGTGGTTTGTAAGCCTGGCAACCCTTCCCGCCTCAGTTCCCAACAATCATACAGTCATCAAGAGATTGTACTTGGCCCCCCAATGGCTGGTCAGGGTGGGACTGGTCCTGGAGGGTGTGATTTGAGGCAAGCATCTTTTTCTTTCTTTTCTTTTCTTTTTTTTTTTTTTTGTTTTTGTTTTTTTGAGACAGGGTTTCTCTATGTAACCCTGGCTGTCCTGAAACTCACTTTGTAGAACAGGCTGGCCCTGAACTCACAGAAATCTGCCCTGCCTGCCTCTATCTCCAGAGTGCTGCCATTAAAAGCATGCACCACCACCCTGCTTTGAAGCAAGCTTTATTAAATATTGGCTAGGAAGATGGACACTGGACAGGTGCATACATGGGATTTCCAGAGAGTGGCCACAAATTAATGGTAGTCTGGTGCTTATAAAGGCAAAACTCACAAGGCTACGTACTTCCTACCTTTGTCCAATCGGGGGGCAAGCATACATCTTGATGTACTTCCTGCCTATGTACCTCCCACCTACATGTAATCAAGCACGTATCTTGTGCAGTTGGTGCAACCATGCTTGTTTACAGAAGTGAAAACATGCCACTTGTTATCTTACATGAACAACATCCCCCAGCATTCCAAGAAGTTATCTGTCCTTAGGCAAGTGGGGCTTAGAGGTTAGAGGCATTTTTGTTTTATGGATCTCTTAAGCACAGTAATTCAGCCCTCACATGTGTACTAACTTCTTTTGTCATTGCTGTGACCCAACAAATGCCTTCACAAAAGCAACTTAAGGGAGCAAGGTGTATTTTGAATCATGGTTTTGAGGGTACAGTCCATCATGGTGGGGAAGTCATGGTGGCAGGAGCATGAGGCAGTTGGTCACATCAAGTCTACAGGCAGGAAGCTCAGTTCCTTTACTCCTATTGATTCAGTTCATGAGCCAGCCCATGGGGTGGTGCTACCAGCATTTGGGGTAAGTTTTCTTGCCTCAGGTAAATCTCTCTGAAAACACCCTCACAGACACACCCAGGTGATTCCAGATCCAGTCAAGTTCCCAATGAAGGTTAATGGTCATAGGAAGGAAGTAGAGTGGCAGGTACATTGCTTATTCAAATCCACTAGTCACAGTACAGGAATATTGTCATACTAAGTACTAGAACATTAGCTGAAAATTCTTAACTTATCAAAAAAATGACAATATGATGGGGCTCTCTCCAAGAGCATAAAGCAAACCACAAATGGCAGCAACACATGATGTCCCTGATCA